AGAGTTCCTGTATTAAATTCTCCTCAAATTATCCTAATTTAAGAGTGGCATTTTTTTCCTACTGCATAGACCCTGGCTGTACAGATATTCAAAAAGTGATCAACATTGGGAACCTATATATCAGAAAGAGATGTATATTCGCTCTCCTAGCTCATTCCTTTGTAATTTACAGAAAAGAAGATTCTTTTCCTAGCGAATTCCTTACCTGATTCATGATTTAAGGAAAGCAAAGTCTTCCATTTTTATATTTTGCCTATTATACCAATCTGCAGTTAAAGTTTTACACTGAAAAATTATAGTTTCTTAACATGTCACATCCAAATTAAATTGTCATTAGAATCGATCAAAATTGGTCTTTTGATTTTCATTTGCAATATTACTGTTTCAATCTAGGTATATGTCAGTAACTTTTTTTCTACATCTATGGCTTTGGTATAGGTTCTTTTTTTTTTTTAAATGTGGCAATTTTTTTTTTAAGATTTTATTTATTTATTTGACGGAGAGAGACAGCGAGAGAGGGAACAGGGGGAGTGGGAGAGGGAGAAGCAGCCTTCCCACGGAGCAGGGAGCCCGATGCGGGGCTCGATCCTAGGACCCTGGGATCATGACCTGAGCCGAAGGCAGACGCTTAACGACTGAGCCACCCAGGCGCCCCTAGTTTGGTATAGGTTCTTGCTGAAAATTTGGGCGCTGGGAAAAGTCAATTTGTTGGTAAAACGATGTGACATATATAAATATGTAAAATATGTTTTCTTATTGAAGTCTTATAAAAGGTATTTTGTTGCGTATTTTTAAATACGAATTGACTACTTAGGCAAGTAGTTTAGTTATCAAAATTAACCCTAGTAAAAAATCAACAAATACACATGTAAAACATACATGAATTTATATAATTTCAGAAGATTGATCTCTGAAAACGTTAATGACTTTGAGGAGTACATAAAAAATGGTGTATCAGAACATGGACAGAATTTAATATTTAGTCCAATTAAAGTTGTTAATAATAGGATGTAACTTGTCTTAAGCCAAAGACTTCAAATAATTGAGTTCCCCTGGAAACTGCAATACTAGTCCTGCAATTTAAAGCTTGCATAATAAGCTCATCAATCCATTTTTTAAACTTTTTATCCTCATTGACACAGAGCAAGAGAAAAAGATGGTCTAAGACCCCTCATATCATCATCATCTTTACCAGTCCTTAATAATGTCATTATGTTGAGATGCCTCCTAAGGAATCTTTAGAGAAGTCCCTCTTCTGATCCATTTGAAAATTTCCAGAACTAACGACACCTTACAAGACAACTGGGGATTAATTAAAGTTGTTATAGCTTCTGAACTCCAGGTGAACCTTTTTAGGGTTGTTACCTTGTGAACTTCTCTTAGACTCTTTATTGAAGATGATATAATTATTCCATTTAGGTACCTGCCAGATTCTACTTTATAATTTCCACAAATTCTGTCTTCACCTGTGCTGACTAACTAGTCATTTAAAGACCATTTTCTCTAAAGATTTTCATTTTTTATATCAGTTCTGCTAAGTCACACATATTTTAGTGTTGTACCTTCAGCTTCTAAATTGGAATTTCTTCCGATTTTGACCATGACAGTGCCAAAATATTATTCATATTTTTTGTAAATGATGGAGATGTTTTATGCTCATATATTTCTCTTTATTCCACTTTAGAAACTTTCTCCCATTTTCCTCCATATATCCAAATCATACTTTTAACCCAATTAAAGAGCCACCACTTGGGAAAAAAAAAAACAGTTCTAGACTGATTCTTATAAAAAATGAACTTTCTCTCACTTCTAACGTCTAATACTTGGTTACTCTATAGTTGTTTCACTTATATTTATTTAAATATATAACAGCTTGCAAATGACTCCTCAAACAAATTGTTAGGGGCAAATACTAAAATATATTTAAAAATTTTTTAAATAAGTATTGTCACTGTATGTGGTGAGTATACTCTCTGACATGTATAAGCATTTAATAAGTGCTTATTTAACTTAACTGCTAATATTACCTTCTGCTGGCATAGTTGGATCAATAGAAATAATCTAAATATAGGGATTTAATACATATGTCATGAATTTTCTCAGTATTTATCTACTTCTATTACAAATTGGTACTATATTTAAAAATTCTTCCTCACAATTTTCTGAAATAATATTGTTAATTTCATTCATTCATTAATGCATTCATTTCTCTTTTGTTCATTTATTCAACAAATCTTTACTAAGAACCTCTAGGGTGCCAGAAATTCTGAGTATTGAGGCCATGTTTTGACCAAAATAGATATTTTATAATTATTGCAATAGAGAATATTAATATCATTTTTTTGGAGAATATTAGTATCATTTTAATTAATTTCATTACCTGATTTCTTTACTCTGGTTTAGCACTAAGATAGCTCAGAAACGTATAAATATTTTGTCAACAAATATAATAAATAGAATTCTGCATATTGTATTCTCCTTGAGGGAAGAGATGCTCTTACTTTATATCTTCACAGTGTAGGTACACATTAAGTCTGACTTTCATGTATTCAACAATCATCTATTCAATACATATCCTATAAAAGACTCAACACTAGCTACTGTGAGGGACATGAGGGTATCAGACAAGGATTCTAGGAAAGTAAGAGTGATAAGTAACATGTACACAATTGATCCCACTGTAGGACAGAGAGAGAAAGAGCCATAGAGAAATAAAGATATGGTGCTATTGAAATTTAGAGCAAAAACAGGTTATTCCCAAATAAAGGATTATGGAAAAACTTTTTGTAAGAGTTGGCTTTGAGCTGGGCCTAGGAGAATGGGATGAATTTAGCCATGGAAAATGGAATAGTTAGGAAAGGAAAAAGAGAAGGTAGGAGAAGAGCATAGAAAGTATCTTTTTACATATAAATTATGCTTCATTAAAACAAGACAATTTTTTCTGAAATTATTCTGTTATTTTTTATGCATAATTATGTTCAATTATTCTAATATTCACTTCGGAAATATTCAAAAATAAATTATCCTAATCTCCCATTTTTTTTCTTCTTCCTTGTCTCTTAGGGTTAGTTAAGCCCATTTAAGTCTTACCAGAAGAAAGATGCAAAAAGTCCCTCACTTTCAGAAAACTATTCCAAAATATCAGCTGAATGTAGATCTCTATAAAGCTAAATCAAGAAATCGTTTTACTCTATTCTAGTTGTGTTTTTAGTGTGTGGTAATCTTTTTTTTTCTACCAAATAGTTTCTGAAACAAGCTAAAGTACTTTATTTTCACCATTTTTATGCATTAATATATAATGATGAACTTACAATTTGAAAATATTAGCAGATACTTTAAATATGTAGCCAATTTGCATACAATATTCAGTGTCTGTGATGATGCAAAACTTTCCCCCATCCTAAATAATTGTGCTGTTTCAGTATGTAATTGGGACTACTAAGATATCACCCACAGTATACACTGTTAGCTCATGATGGCTTTTCTATTTAACATAGTACCAATTCACCACTTACTCAAAGTTGAAAATGGTCATTTTCCTAATGATATGTTATGCTTAGCTTTGGAGATATTAGTTCACACCCATCTTTTTCCTAATTGCCTACAGTATTCTAAGTAGAATTGCCCTTCACTCCTTTACTAGGCTGTCCTTCTGGTCATGCAAAATGCACACTTATGCATTACATGCAAATTTCCTCCACTCTATAATGAGCTTAAAGTTGTTTCTTTCTTTGTCACCTCCTCTCCTCCAGATATTACTTAATGAAGCATCTAGATCTCTTTGGGTCCCAATAAAGTTGGTCAATAAATGGTTAATGCAGTAATGATTTTGTGACAATTAGTTCTATTGGTTTTTGTCAGTCACATATAGGGGAGAATCATTTAACTATCCTATGACTCCTCCTACTTTCCCATGAAAATTGTAACTTTTTTTCAGAAAAAATATTTGGGAGATAGATTTTTCAAGAATGCATTTGGTTAATGATAATTTTATTCATAATTGCAGAAAAAAAAGGAAGAATCTTTTGTCCTTCAACTGGTGAATGAAGTAACTGTGGTACATCCTTACAATGAAACACTACATAGTAATAAAAAGGAAGAAAACACTGATACACATAACAACACGAATGAATAAATATCAAATACATCATTATATGTATAGAAGCCAGATGAAAAGGTGACATATTGTATCTGTTCTACTTATATGACATTCTAAAAAAGTCAAAATTGTAATGGCAAAAAACTGGTTGTGGTTTCCAAGGCCTGGGAGGGAGAAAAGTTGTTTCTATAGGGCGATAAGGAAACATTTCAGGTTGACTAAATTGCCCTAAAACTTAATTTTGACCAATTTCATGGTCGCATGATAGTTTGCATTTGTCAAACTCATTAAAAACTCTGTACCCTAAATGGGCAAAATTTACTATACGTAAACACTACCTCAAAAAATTTGACTTTAAAAAGTAAAAATTCATTGATATCTCAAAATCTGATCAATCTGAAAAGATACAGTCAACAACCATTTAGCGATCCATCAAGAAAGGAAAGGAATTATTCGTTCCATAGGATGTTTTACAAATTTTCCTTTTCAGAAGGAACACCAATAACATTCATATATCTTTTGTTTTATAAATAAAAATTACATTTTAGGGGAAAAAGCTTCATTGAACAAGTGCCTTGTTTTTCATTGCTGTGTTAATTATGAATTTATTAAAATAATCTCCAAAAGTAACAGTATTTTGTTAAATACAAGCTTACTTAATGAGTATATTAGTTATGATAATCATCTAGTCTTAAAATAACACACTGCTATCATTAACAATTGCAAGATTATTATCTTTTACTTCTCAGTCTAGTAAACAACTTAATAATTCAGAAAGACAATGGAGAAAAACCACTGCTAGAAACTCTCACATAATAGAACTGGAACTCATATACAAGAGACAAAATAGCAGGATTAGAAATAATCCTGAGAAGGATGCTTTAGACAGCAAATGCCTTACCTTTGCGTTTGGGTGGCATAGCTGTTATCGTAAGTCTCATAGGTCTGGTCATCATATTCACCCCCGTAGCCATCATCATACCCCTGAGGCAGAAAATGGTAGAAAGACCTATTAGCAATCAACTTGATTAACTTAGATCTGGTTTGGCTTAATGAGATTTTATGTGATGTGACCTTAATTTAGTTTTTACGTTTGGTTAGTTACTCTGCATCAGATTTTACTAGACTAATAATTTCTTCATAACCTTGACTAATATTTCATGGACCAGATATTAATGTTTAATAATTAAGCTTCAGCATATCATTAAAGTAGCAATACCTACTCTACAATTTATCTAGAATTTTGATCAATACTAATGAAAACTATAAGAAGTTAAAAATAAATTTTCTTTTGAAAATATTATGGTTAGATAGTGTGCTAACATCATGGTGGTGTTAACATATTGGTTACAGCCCCACTAGGTTTTTTTTTCCCCTGATAATAATCATAATTATGATTGAAACTATAAAATTCAGGATCCTTAAATTGTGGTCAACTTCCAATAAAAAACATATAGTCATCATTGCAAAACAAACAAAAAAGAAAGGAGAAAAAAGAAAAAGGGAAAGAAGAAAGAAAAGGAGGGAAGGAAGGAAGGGAAGTTGAGAAGGGATGGAAAGAAGGGCTGGAGGGAAGGATTGGGGGAGCATAGGAGGCAGGAAAGAAGGGAAGAGAAAAAAAGAAAGAAACTACATAAAGAGCCTTTATTTTGTTGTGCATTCTACAGTTTTTAAATCTCATAAAAAAAATGTTGTTGGTGGTGAGTTTGATTACCTGACTAAATTAACGCTACCAACGCTAATGCAGATTTGTCATTGCAGACTGTGAAAGCAAGCTAGCAGCTGTACAATCCAGTTATCAATCACTGTGTGAGAGATTTACCTTTATTTCCCTTTGTGGTCACTGACTCTACTCTAAACCCTAGCCCTCCACCTCAACTACTCCCTACTTCTGAAAAAAACCTTTAGTTTTTCTGCCTCTGGGCCTTTGCTGGTGTGTCTTTCCCTGGGATGCACTTCCATCCCATCCCACCAATTCATAACTTCATTTCAGTCTGGAGGCTTATAAATCTCTCTATTGTGTTCAAAAATTTAAACAAAAAATATGTAGCTATAAAAGTTTCCACATCAGTCTTGACTAAGATCTTTGAGCCCATTTAATCTGAAAACTAGTATTTTTCATCAACCTAAGAACGTTTTTAAAATATTATTTATGACTTCTCCATCTGGTTTATCGTTTATATAATGCTATTATTTATATATGAGGTTTACTGAGTCTGACTTTAATTTCTTCTATTCTTCCACTTATGGTTTTCACTTCATCATATTTTTGCTCTGCACTATGGGATCATTTCTCCATTTGATCTTTGACTATTCTAATTCAATTCCTATTAAGTTAAAAAATTAAATATTCTAAAGTTAATTTCAACATATAAGATTATTTTAAAATAGTACTAAAGGATTTATGCACAAAAAACAGCACTTCCTTTCCTTGTCTCTCTCTAACCCTCAGTTCTCTTTAAGCCTTTTCATCTATTATTCTAGTATTTTTATGTTATTAAGTAATATGATTAAATTAATGTTGCTGATTTATGAACTTTAATTATTTTCTATTGACTAGCCATTCAGGTTATTAAGGATTTAGTTTTGTTATAGACTCTTCCCTACATTTCCCCCTACACTTTAAATATAGTTTTATCATTACTTTTGTTAAGTAGTCAGTATCTACACTATAATTCAATAATAAATACTATTTACTAAAGATCCAAATAGATTAATACAATTCTTTTTTTATTCTCATATACTTTTTGTTTCTTCTAAAGTTAATAATTGCTCATTCATTTTATTATTTTCTTGGTTGCCTATATATTTTGAATTATTTGTTTATAACTATCCCCGTGTTGGGCTCCACGCTGGGCGTGGAGCCTACTTAGGATTCTCTCTCTCTCTACCCCTCCCCATCCCCCCTTTACTCGTGCACTCTGTCTCAAAAAAGTATAGTTAACATATAATGCAATATTAATTTCAGGTGTACAATATAGTGTATCAACATTTCCATACAACACCCAGTTGCAAGTGCACTCCTTAATCCCCATCACCTGTTTTACCCATCCCCCCACACACCTGCTGCTCTGGTAGCTATCACTTTGTTCTCTGTAGTTAACACTGTGTTTCTTCATTTGCCTCCCTCTCTTTTTTTTCCCCTTTGTTTATTTTGTTTCTTAAATTCCACATGAGCGAAATCATACGGTATTTTTCTTTCTCTGACTTACTTCATTTAGCATAATACTTTCTAGCTCCATCCATGTCATTGCAAATGGCAGGATTTCATTCATTTTTATGGCTGAGTATATTCATATATATATATATATACACACACATATATATATATACACACACACACATACGTATATGTATATATACATATACACATACACACACCACTTCTTTATCTATTCATCAGTCAGTAGGTACTTGGTTGTTTCCACAATTTGGCTATTGTAGATAATGGTGCTATAAACATCGGGATGTATGTATCCCTTTGAATTAGTATTTTTGTATTCTTTGTGTAAATACCTAGTAGTGCGATTGATGGATTATATAGTGTAGTTCTATTTTTAACTTTTTGAGGAACCTCCATACTGTTTCCCAGAGTGGCTGCACCAGTTTGCATTCCCACCAACAGTGCAAGGGGGTTCCCCTTTTTCCACATCCTCGCCAACACCTATTGTTTCCTGTGTTGTTAATTTTAGCCATTCTGACAGGCATAAGGTGATATCTCATTGTGGTTTTGATTTGTATTTCCCTGATGATGCGTGATGTTGAGCATTTTTTTATGTGTCTGTTAGCCATCTGGATGTCTTCTTTGGAAAAATGTCTATTCATGTCTTCTGCCCATTTTTAAACTGGATTATTTGTTTTTTAGGTGTTGAGTTTTATAAATTCCTTATATATTTTGGATATTAACCCTTTATTGAATATGAAATTTGCAAATATCTTCTCCCATTCTGTAGGTTGCCTTTTAGTTTTGTCAAGTGTTTTCTTCACTGTGTAAAAGCTTTTTATTTTGATGTAGTCCCAATAGATTAATTTTGCTTTTGTTGCTATGGCCAGTGTCAAAGAGGTTACTGCCGTGTTCTCCTCTAGGATTTTAACTAAATTTCCTAATGTCTCACATTTAGGTCTTTCATCCATTTTGAATTTATGTTTGGGTATGGTGTAAGAAAGTGGTCCGGTTTCATTCTTTTACATGTTGCTGTTCAGTTTTCCCAACACCATGTGTTGAAGAGACTGTCTTTTTCCCATTGGATATTCTTTTCCTGCTTTGTCAAAGATTAATTGAACATATGCTCGTGGGTTAATTTCTGGGTTTTTTTATTCTGTTGTCTTGATCTATGTGTCTGTGTCTATTTTTGTACCAGTGCCATACTATTTTGATCACTACAACCTTGTAATATAACTTGAAGTCCAGAACTGTGATGCCTCCAGCCTTGCTTTTCTTTTTCAAGATTGCTTTGGCTATTTGTGGTCTTTTATGGTTCCATAAAATTTTAGGATTGTTTGTTCTAGCACTGTGAAAAATGCTATAAAGTCGCAGGATAGAAGATCAATGTACAGAAATCTATAGCATTTCTATATACCAATAATGAAGCAGCAGAAAGAGAAATTAAGGAATCAATCCCATTTACAATTACACCAAAAACAATAAGATACCTATGAATAAACCTAACCAAAGAGGTGAAAGACCTGTATTCTGAAAACTATAAAACACTGATGAAAGAAATTGAAGAGGACATAAAGAAATGGAAAGACATTCCATGCTTATGGATTGAAAGAACAAATAATGTTAAAATGTCTATATTACCCAAAGCAATCTACACATTTAATGCAATCCCTGTCAAGATCCTCCAGGCTTTTATTGCTTTCCATAACTCTGCCTTTTTGAGTAGTCTAGACCAATTGTTTTCTAGATTGTCCCATATCCTGAATTTGTTTGATTATTCTCATAATTACATTTTGCTTCAATATTTTTGAAAGGATACTGCATCTGTGATATTGTGTTGAACATTTATCTGATTGCAAATTTTTAAATTCTAATCCCACACTGGATTGATTGAGTGTAGAAGATTAGGCTGAAAAATGATTTTCAATCAGAACTTTTGAGAGCTTTGAGTCAGTGTTTTCATCACTACATATTGGTGCTGAGAATTCCTGCTACTTGTATGTGACCTAGTTTTATTTTATTTCATTTCACTTTTTTCTTTCCTTTCAGGATGCTTTTACAAACTTTACATCTGGTGTTCTGAAATTTTGTAATGCTGTGCCTTTGTGTGTGGTGTGTCTCTTTTCATTCAGTATGCTGGGTAGTCAGGGAGCTCTTTTAATTGTGGGAGCTTGTGTTCTCCAGTTCTGGCAAATGTCATTGTACTTTTCTTCTCTCTTTCTAGTACTCTTACTAGTGAGATATTGGATCTTCTTTGTTGCTGCGTTAATTTTATCTTTGTGTCTAATGTGATATCTCTTATTCTTTTTGTTTTACTTAATGGGGGAATTCTAAAAAAAATCAATCTTGCAACCATCCTGTAAGATGTATAACTTTATTTACACACCTATACCCCCTCCAACACACACATGAACAGCTCTTAGAGTGTGCACAGGAGGCTCTTGTGTTCTCAGGTGAAATTTAGGCATCCTTATTCTCAACTCAAGGCTTCACCTCCCCTCTGGTGGAACAACAGTTAACATCATAGCTGGAATTTCCCATAGCTGAACAGGCCAGGCTCTCTATCTTGGAGATCACTGGGTCAGTAACTAGGGCATTAATTGTATTTGCCACAGGTATCTCAGGGGCTGCCCACATCTTTTCTAGCATCCATGCTATTATTCTCCACCAAAATTCTAAAAATATGGCTTCATTAACCCTCAGTTGTTACTCTAGACTCAAGAGCTCTAGCTTCTAACAGGAAGCAAGCAAGTTTTGTTTTGTTTTGTTTTGTTTTTGTGTTTGTGTCCCCACACGAGAAGAGCCAAGGAGGGGGGCAGGT